CCAAGGTCCTTCAAGAGCCACCATTATCAAGATCTGGTTCTGGGGGTGCTGCAGCTTTGGGAGCCACTGGTTTTCAGGCTGAGTTGGACTTCCTAGTGGCAGACTGTCACTGGGAGGAGGTTGTCCCTTCTCTCATGTCCTTGGCAGTGTCAGCATTTCCCTTGCCTCCTCACTGCAGCCTGCTATTATCTCTCAAGGTCACCTGAGCATTTGGAGCCTGGGAACTAATTCCTTCCCCCAAACACTGCACATTGTTCTGTGGGCACAGAGAGTCCAGAAGGCAAGTGGGGCACCTCTCCTAGAGGCTAGAATCAGATCAGTGAGTAGTTCAGGTAACTGGGCCATCTACCAAGGCAGTAGAAACTGGATACCCTCTTCTCTCAGTCACCCTCAGCTTACCATCCTCTGGATCTTCACAGCACATGGAGAAAGGGCCACACTCAACAGCGCCTCAGAGTTCTTCCCCTGCAGATCCCCCAAGGCAGGACCTGGGAGTCTCCCTTTCCTCTATTCCTCAGCCCCAAAGCTCTTTTGTATCCACTGGCCCCATCAAAGCTTAGAATAGAGTGGATCGGAACACACAGAAGGATGGAGCCAAACCACATTTCCTCTTGCTTCAATTAAGCCTCTCGCTGCTTTCGTTATCTTTGGAACTTGTTTTCTAGAAGCAGACCCAGTGTTTTGTGTGCAAATGGTTAGTTAAGGAATACTCCAGAAGGCAAAGCAGGCGAGGAGGAGGCAGTGAGACAGTGGGGTGGTTTATGGGTCGCCCCTGGCTCCAAAGAGTCAAGGGAGCCTGGCTTCCATCAAACACGGGCCAAGGGCTGCTGGGGGTAGAAACTCCTATGCATTCTCCTCTCTGTGCCTGCACACACAGTTCTAGTAGCTTGGAAAGTCTGGGTAAGCCTGTACCACCTTAGGGGAAGAGCTGTCATGGAGCCGTGAAGACAGGCTGAAAGGGTCTCAGTGTCACCAAGCATCACCAGAGGCCTGGAGATCCCCTATCCCTGGTTCTTGTCCTGTAGTAGAGGTGAGACTGAATCTGAGAGAGGACACAGAGCAGCAGAGGAGGCTGGGGAAAGCCCAGCATGTGGCTACTGTGAGCTACTCCTTTTCCAGAGTCAGTCCCTACAAAATCCAAGTTGAGGAGAGTCCCTCAGCCTAGTCCCTCCCCAGGAGACAATCCCCAGACACAGCCCACTTTCAAATGTCCCAAATAAGCTTTGCTGAGAAGACAGCAAAGGGCTGGAAATGGAGGGGGGGGGGCTCCTGTGTGAGCTATCGTGTGAGCATGTGTGCCTCATCTCCCACGGTCCTTATCTCCAGACCCAGCTGCGAACTTGATGTATTTATTTGCTCTGATGTGTGTAAGGGGGCGGGGCTCCATCCAAACCACAAGTCTGCCAGCACTGTGAGAAAGTGACCTTCTTGCAGATGGCTGTCTGCTAGCCAGGTGGGGGCCAGAGGGAGGTGAGGACTGCTATAAATCCCTTCAGCCTGCCACCAGGGGGTGACCCTGTCAGGGTAGAGGGCATTGTTGAGGGGACTTGGAAACGGGATAGAACCACCTAGATTCTAAATGGACTGGACTCAGGAAAGGGGGCAATAAGAAGGGAAGAGAAGGGGTAAGGGAGCGGAAAGGAGCGGGGGAGCAAAAGCCTGTCCTGGGAGTCAGCACACAGGCTTCTCTATTGAGAAGGGATGTGGGTGTCTCACTGTGCTGTGCTGTTGATTTGCTAAAGGTTGACATTTGTTTAATCCTTAGGAGTTAGGCAGTACTTATTATCATTATTATTATCACCCTTAATTCACATACAATCATGTCGTTTTAGACAATCAGACAAACTCCATTTCACACTGGTCTTACCACACTGGTCTGACTGGCTAGCCTTTTGGACATTTTTTTGTGGTTAGCTAGCTGGTTTTTGTAATCAGCCCGGCTATCCAGTTGGGGATATTTATAACATGTATGAACTGTATTGTACTCCAGGCAGCTGGTCTCACAGAGAATTCCTTTGAGCTGAGTTTCAGGAAGTTCCTGGAGCCAAGACTGAAGGAATTTTCCCCCTCATTTGACAACAAACACATTTTGTACAGTTGGATAGTAACTTCCAAACTTCCCGTTTTTTTGTTTTGGTGTGTGTGTGTGTGTGTGTGTGTGTGTGTGTGTGTGTGTGTATGATGGGGAAAGTGAGTGGAAATTCTAGACCTATCCACAGACATCTTCACTCAGGCTCAGTGGGTCTGGAGCTGACATATGAATTCAGTCACATAAGCAAATGGTAGTCCCGTCAACCATTCCTGAGCCCCAGGCTCAGCATGGCCCTTGTGTAGGACTTCGGGTTATGCTGAAAGGGATGTGTCCCAGAGATCTCACATGTATCTTCTTTCATTTCTCTCCAGATGTCCCCACCCCCACAGAAGGCTGAGCAGTCCCATGGCTGCTTGGGGGTCCCACTTCTTAGTTGTGCTGTAACTGGAGATGGGCCTCTCCAGAAATGGCACATCCCTGGCAGGGGAGGGAAACTGGTGGACAGCCAACGACCTTACAGAAATCATCTCTGGGACTTCTGACTTTCTAAACAGCTAGGTGCACTCCCTAAGTACGGCTGTATATGAAGAAAACAGTCCTCTTAGAGGTCACGGATCTGAAGTCCCAGAGAAGGCACAGCATGATGTACATTCATGCCTTTAATCCCAGCACTCGGGAGGCAGAGGCAGGCAGATCTCTGTGAGTTCGAGGACAGCCTGGTCTCCAGAGCGAGTGCCAGGATAGGCTCTAAAGCTTCACAGAGAAACCCTGTCTCGGAAAAAGAAAAGAAAAGAAAAAGAAACTTCAGTTGGAGGAACGTGAAAGTAGGGCAAAATTATCTTAAAGATTCCTTAGGGGGGCAGCAGTAATGAAACAAAAAGAGGTTTCTCTCAAGACACTGCCCTAAAATCTTAAAAAATTAGAATTAGGATAAACTTGAGCAGTGGGTCCAGAAGGTTGAGGGAGACAGGGTCTTCAAAGGGCCTGCATGTCTCATCACCTGAGACTGGACCATCAGGAAGCCACCCCCAAGCTCAGGCCAGGTACCCTGTGCTATGTGTGTGTGTGGTGGGGCTGGGGGGGGGTGCTGGGCTAGATATGGGCTCCCTGTGGGGTTAATTCTACTTCTGCCATAGGCAAGAGAGCTAACGTTGAACAAGAGATTGGCCTTGCTGTTCCTGGTGTTCACTGGTAGGATGAAGACAAAGGTGTAATGAAATAGTGTAGCTGGAAGGAGGCAATGAGGCTACCTATGCTGGTGGACAATGTGTGTCTGGCACGCAGTCCCCCTCCTGGTGGGAGACTACTCACCAGGGTGTCTGGGTTCCTGGCTCTAGTGAGATCTGCACATGCTTCAGTCCCTCCCATGATTGGTGGGACTTGGTCCCACTGGGGTTGTGAGCTGCAATAGAGGATCATCTAATCGCTTCTAAAAGATGATCCCAGAAAGGGATCCAGCATGCACTGGGATGCCATGTTAGTGGGTGTTTCTCAGAAGGTTCAAGGACTTCTTGGTTGCTAAAGTCACACAGACCTGGAGACTAAAAGAGTGATTGACTCTGCTTCTAACTGGATCCCCAATCTTCATTCCAAACGTGATCCTTAGCCTGATCTAACTCCACATCTAGCCTCAGCTGGACCTCCCCCTGACAGCTAGCTTAACTCCGTGCCCCTAGCCAGGCTCATGTCTCATTCTCCCATAGTATTCATCTAATTTCACCGATTATCCACCATTTCCCAAACCGAGACTACACACTTCCACATTTACAGGCTTTCTGTGCCTGTGTCCCTGCTGGGCTTATAGTTACTTAATATTGATAATAAGTAGACCTTTAAAGAACTCCATGTTAGTGCCATTCTGAAAGACTGTACCTCAGAAATCAGCAAGACTGGTAATATTATTTCTCATAGGTGCTCAGGTAATTATAAAAAGCTCAACGTTTGAAAACTGTTATCCATGGGTCAGCTGCCTAAAGCTGTCCCTTATGGTCCCAGAAGAATACACAGCACACTACCAAGGGTTGGTATAGTTTAAACCTAGGATACCAACCCCAGGAGTGCTGTGCACATGGCCCTCCAAACAGCAACCTCTGGCCAGACAGGTGGGCTGTGGCGCCCTCTGCTGACAGAATATGGGATCAGTGTGAGCTTGGCTCCTCTTCTACCTGGACGGGTTCAGCATTCTGACTTAATGTTTAACGCACCACATCCAGGGACCCTAGCTGTGCCATTCCTTTCATGGAGAATAAAGACACAATGTGAGACAGAAACCCTGAATTCAGAGCTGGACAAACCTGGTATGTGGTGGGCAGGAAGACTCAACATTTAGGAGATCTGCTGAGAGGTTAGATTTTGAAGGTGGATGGAGTAGGGCCCAGGGTTGCAGAACGGCAGGCACCTGGGTAGCATTTGGGTGTTGTGCAGATTGGAGAAACATGGCTGGGGCTGGGCTAAAGGAAACTTTCAAGGAACATTCACAAGGGCCTGAGCTAGTTAGTCTTTGGTTCCCAAAGAGGGGCTGGGATAGAGATGAGCCAAGGGGCTCCAGGAAGCCTGCTCTCTACTCCAGGTCCTTCTCCCAGTGGGTGTGGAAGGAACACAGAGTCAACTATTGCTCAGAGGCTACAAGACTCTTATCGGCTCCTGCAGGCCTAGGCACTCTGCCCCAACATAGTGTGTATTAATATTACTATTTTGCTAAGATTTGCTGTTGGCTTTCTTATAAAGTGCTAACTCTCATCTTGTTTGTGAAATAAGACCTTAAGATCAGGAAACTGATCTTCTCATTGAGCTTATCAAAGACCTCATGAAGTAAAATACAATACACCTTATCTCACTTTCAAAGGAGCTGCCTGTAATCAGGGAGTTAACAGCCACATTGTGGCCACTGGCTACCAAGAACTGAATTCCAGTGCCCTAACTTGTAGTCCAATAAGGTTTTGATGGTTGCTGGTGGTAGTGGGATAAATCTTGACAGAATTTTTTTTTAAGAAAATGGCACACACAGCATATTTAAACTTTGATATTTTTGGTCAAAGGTCAAACTAAGAGATTAAAGCTCCAGAGTGGGACTTGGGCACCTGGGCAGTGGGTATAATGATGATGTTACTGAATAAGCCTGTTGGTGGTGGCGCACACCTTTAATCCCAGCACTTGGGAGGTAGGGGCAGGTGGATCTCTGAGTTTGAGGCTAGCCTGGTCTACAGAGTGAGTTCCAGGGCAGCCAGGGCTACATGGAGAAACCCTGCCTTAAAAAACCAAAATAAAAAAATTCACATATAAGGGCTGCAACATCAGACAGGACAGGGCTTCTTTCCTCCCTTTGTCATAAATCTGCAGCAGCTGAAACTGAAGACAGCCAGCCTGGTGGGGCTGGGACTCAGTATGAGACATGGCTCCAGCACTGCCTTGCCTGTATAGCCAGGCGAGGGTCTTAGCCTCTTTTCCTCGACATCCTCAGCCCCACCCAGAACCAGAGCTCTAATGGATTGCTGTCAGAGCTCAGTCTCACCATGGTAGAAATGGGCTTCTACAGGATGCCTTCAAACATCAGGACGGGTCAGAGGTGTGGGCAGGCATCACTCACTTGAAAGTGGAGACCACCAAACCTATCAAGACCGGACCTCTGGGCTACCTGGGAAATTCCTTGAAGCAGGAAGCAGGGAATGGGTGAGGAGGTGGACAACACCAGCAACAGTTCAGATAAGCATAGGGAAGCTGACCTTCAAGATGATCATAAGGTTGGGGACCAGTGGCTTGGCATGAGAGGTAGGGTCTTATCTGCTGCGCCAGCAAGCTGCTGTCCACACTGAGAGACCAGGATGACAGAACTGGCTGGGGACTCTGAGATAAAAATGCAGGCCAGCCAGCTCATTTCACAGAACACTAGAGCTCTGGCCTAATCATATTCAGTGTACACAGCCAGGTGTTTTCTCTACTTCCCTTTGATGGGGAGGTGGTCTGTGACAGCAGTGATGCTCAGAACTGAGCAGACAGCGTTGCCCGGAGAACCTGTTAATGCTGCAGGCTCTACTCCAGACAGCCTGATGCTGGGGACCTCGGTAAAGCCACCTTCCCAAAGGTCTCGATGCAAGTGTCCTACTGGGTGTCCCTTGAAAGGGCTGAGTGCAAGGGGGGTTAGAAGGCCTGATGAACAAAGAACAAAGTTGGAAGTGTCAGTCTGTAGAAACGGGGATATGGATGGAGCAACAGCTTCTAGCTCTCTGATGCTAGAAGGCCCCTTTGGAATGGAAGTGTTTTTTTTTTTTTTTTTTTTTTTTTTTTCATGAGCACAGTTGGTCTCTGGGCAGTGGAAGCTGGGAGAACCCAAATTCATGAAGGGCAATTTGGTTTGAGAGGCACTTTGGGTGCCCAGGGGGTTGCTGGTATAGTGGTAAGCATTGTCTTAGAGCAGTGGTTCTCACCTTGTGGGTCATGACCATAGGAAAACACTTATTTCTGATTGATTATCTTAGCAATTGAGACACTGCTCAGCAGCAAGGTTACAGCTATGGCTGGGGGTTCCTAAGACCACCAGAAATGTGTGTTCTCCAATGGTCACAACCCGAAGGTTGAGGACCTCTGCCTGAGGGTGTTATTCGTGGGAGCTACCAGCAGATCACTTGGGACATTTTGATTGAGCATCAGGGAGGAGCTGCAAGGCCACCCGTGGTAGTTGTAGGTGAGGTGCCTGGGGCCATATGAGGGCCAATCAGAGAGCCCAGAGGCCACACCTTGTAAAGTCTTCCTAATTCTGTCTTCTAGAGGAAGGACTTAGGTCTGGGGTGCCTTTGATGTCTGCTGCAGGAATTTTAGAGAAAGAGTGTTTGGTCCCAGATAAAGGGCACCTATTCCGAACTAAAGAACAGCTCTGTGTTGGAGAGCAGGGCCTGGGAATGTGGTGAAGGGTGGGGCCTGGCTCAAGGATGCCCCTCCCTCTGTGGCTACCGGCTAAGCCAGATATCCCTTTCTGTCAGCTCTGCTCGGAGGCCTCTTTGGCCAAGCTCTGGCCAGAGAGAGTAGAGTTACCTTCTGACCTGGCTGGGGCACACCCTTCTGACAGTTCTTCCATGTAGGTGTTCAGAGCCTGAAGGTATTGAGCAAGTTGGGTGGAAGCCGATGAGGAAGAGGTCTGCGGGCTCAGATAGCGGCCATACCTCTTCAAACCCTCTTGCTGGTTGCTGCGGTATGCAGTCAGCAATTCTAGAAAGCTCACATTGTGGAGGGCCAAGAGGCGGGCCTCGGCCGGGGGCAGGACACTAGCCTGAACTAGGGGCTGCAGGGAAGAGAAGCACTGTAAGTTACTGAAGGGGTAGACATGCCGGACCAGTTGTGGCCCTGGGGAGACCTCAAGGAGGCAGCACAAGTCTCGCATGGCCAGCACAGCAGCCAGGGCACTCCGTTCACTCATGTTTCTCGCCAGGTAGGTCTTGGCCAGGTTCCTGAGTTTGAAGCTGCTGGCACCGGGTATGCGTTCCTGAATGAGAGGCAACACAGCCAAGAAGCCGTAGATGGCATCCTGGAATTCCCACAGCTTGTTAATATCATCCAGGGCCTTGAAGAAAATGGGGAGCCCAGGCCCCCACAGCTTAGAGCAGGCCAAGATGGGGCGCTGCATGGAGGTGAGAAAGTTGAGGAAGTGCTGCAGTCCGACCTCCAGGGAGACTGCCTTAGAGTAGACACTGAAGGTCTCCGGCTCGATGAGTACTCGGAACTTGCTTTCCTGGTTCACAGCTGCCAGTTGGCTAATTTTCTGGGCTAGGCAGGAAAGAAGGGCAGGGTAAGGCTCCAGGGTTTAGGAGGCACTGGGTGCAAGGGGCCAGGCTGCTCACCCACTATCTAGAGAGCCCACCTTGAGGCCTGCTGGCAGGAACCAAATAATTCTTGAACCAATGTAGTTCTTGCCTAGCTTTGATGGGACGGGTCGGGGGCTCACTTGTCGGCAAGGTGGTTTTCCCTATCCCTCCTGCCCTCCTAGAGTTTGCTCAATCCTAAGAACTCTGCCCTTTTTGTATTTTCTCAGCCTCCACCTCCACCAGAGACCCCAGAGGGTTTCTTCTGGGCCTTCTATAATCCTACTCCTACCTCCAACCCCATCAGTACCAGCCCAGGACTGAAGACAACAGAAATGGCCTGTGTACCCCCTAAGGGCATGGCCCAGAGTCTCCCCCTGAAGCCTACAGATGTGTGCTATGCAAATACCTGATGCTTCTGTCTGGTAGGCCAGCCACAATGGCAGGGCCCACAACTGTTAGCCAGGACAAAGGGTCAGAGCTGAGGGGCTGGGCAAGGATGACAGCGAGGAAGACAGGGGGCTTCTAAGAGGAGGAGTCACAACTCCCTGAGATCTAGGTTCTGCAAGCCTCCCTGTGTATCCCTTTGTGGGCTGGGCCCTGTTTGGGGAAATGTGTGATTGTAGCCAAAGGTCAAGTGTGGATTACTTGTCAGCAATGAGCTCACACACTGTTCCCAGACTCTCTGTATAGAGAAGGTCTTGTCAGACGTGAACCGATGGCATTACATATCTCCCTCCCATACCCACGTTCCACTTAGGCAGATATGGCAACATCAGATATCCTAGGTGGGGTCAGAGTCCTCTGTCTCCCTGGCTGCCACAGCCTGTCAGTGCTAAGGGCTGGCTGGAGCCTTCCAGGTGTCTCTAACTGCACTTTTCCTGAGGACTCAGAGTCTAAGATAAAAAAAGAGATGATGTAAAAGAGATGGTGTAGCTCTTGGGGAACCCACTTTCACTGTCAATCTTGAGGTCAAAGAAAACCAGGGCCCTGTCTTCCGCTTGGGGGTCAGCGAGGCTCTCGTCCGATGCCTTGAGGAAATTGGGGCCCTCCAGCTGGAGGTCACTGGATTCACTGCTGCTGTCTTCCAGCTCGAGGGAGGACTGCAACACAAAAAAGCCAATAGGTCAGGAGTTCAGAGGCCCGAAGGACCAGGTGAGATGACCCTGCACTCTAGAGCAAGTGTGCACACATACAGGAAGATGTAGGAATGTTACTAAGCTGGCACAGTAAGAGCATCTGTGTGCACCAGAGGGTAGAGTAGAGGGGATGCGTGTGCAGGTGTGAACTGGGTCACACTCCTTAGAGAGGGAGGTGTGAAAGGGCAAGACCATACAGGTGAGCATGGGTGTGTGTACAGATGTGTACGTGGGATGCACGTGTGAGGGGTATGAATCTATGGACAGTGTTGGCACAAGTATGTGAAGTGTGAGATGGGGTAGGGTGGGGTGGGGCAAGTTGTGCCTGCTTGCGGAGGCTCAGGGAAGGGGCCAATGCCTCAGGTATGCAAGGACTGAGGTATCTGCTCCAAATTTTACCTCTCTGAGCAGACTCAGAAGAAACAAATGGCACAGATGAGAACGAGATAGGAGTCTCATCCACAGCCCCAAGCGATTCTTTGGAAGGGGCAGGAGCCTGGCTTTCCTAGCCCTCAAAACCAGATTGACCCATGGTGTCTTTCAGTTTAGGGAAAGGAAGGGCTACTTGGCCTCTTGACATCCACATCTTGGTGGACATGCATTCCCTGGTTGGGAGAGGGTCTGGGTGGGAGCAGCTCGGAGCCTCAGATCCTGGAGATTTCAGCTCTCCACATCCATACCTCAGCTGCACTGAGGAGCCTTGGAGCTCAGGAACCCACCCCAGGCTTGCAAAAAGGCTTGGCTCTCCAGCACAGTGGCAAGGTTGTCCTGGCTGGAACACCATTTCAAAGGCCCTAGGCCTCAAGGATGGGAAGGGCTCTCTCTACCTCTGAGATTTTCTCAAGGACCTGGAGCTACAGACAGGTTAGAGTGTCTGAGGATAATACATAGTCACTTAACAGCACAGCTTGTGAATATCCTATGCATGTCACTTTTGGACATTAGACAGGGCCAAATGGGACAGATGGGGAACTGCTGGGACAGAGCCGAGAGACGGCCCTGGTCTGTCTTCTTACAGACTGCTCTGGTTGTCAATGGAGTTATCACCTGGGGCTGAGACCTCTATTCGCTGTGGCCTCCAGCTAATGCCTCTGGCTTGAGAGAAAGCATAAGTGCTGTCTTGGTTGTTGTTTTGTTAACTTGACACAAGCTAGAGGTATCTGAGAAGGGTTTCTGTCTGTATGTGTCTATCCTCACAAGTGGACTTGGGGGCAGAGCTGAGCCACCCTGGCCTTGTCCTTCCCTGATCTGGGAATGTTCACTCTTGCCAGCCTTTGAAGAGCCGGCTCACTAGCCCAGTCGATTCTGCTGCCACTGGCATGACACACGGGCTTCGTCTTCCTTGGTCTTCTTCTAGCTTCAAACATTACTTCAAAAGCCCCTTTGTGGCCCCAGGCGCTTCTACCTGACTCCTGGCAATGACTCCCATCTCCTTCTGGTGATGTTCCTTTATGCCTCAAAGGCAATCTTCCAGAGCAGGACACCTGGAGTGCCACACAGCTGGACTTTTCGGTTAGCGCCTTCATCTTCACACCACATGGCAGGAAGCCTCATTTCTAAGTCTGCCTTCTCTGAGGGAACCTGTGGGTGTCTCACTAACAAGATGCCTCCTTCCCTTCCTCTGTGCTGTAACCGGAGGAAAGGCTGGGTCTACCTTTTAGCCTAGACACAGCCCTGCCTCCCCCCGCCCCCCATCTCTGAGATCAGCCATGCACTAAGGCAGAGGAACACTGCAGTACTTAAGCTAGGCAGCTATAAACTCCTTATTCACCTCTTCTCTTAACTCCCAGCCAGCCTGCAGGAGTGGACCACTTAATCAAGACATTTCTAAAGAGGAGAGCCTACAGGAGGGCATACAGAGCATCTGGCACCAGAATCTTTTCCTCCTGGCTCAGCAAGGCAACCTCTGGTCACATCTGCAGCCCTCACTCCTCCATCTGATTCCAAAAACCAGAATAGGGTGTGAAGGAGGACAGGGGGAGGGAGAAGACAGACAGACAGACAGGTGCTGGTGGAAGAAGGGGATGTGGAGACAGAGGGAATAGAGCTGAGAAAATAGAGGTTGGCCTAGGAGTGAGAACAGCAAAGGGAAGAGCAAAATACTTCAAGAAACTGTGGAGTGATGAGAGCCCAAGGGATGGGATGGCGGAACCTAAGTGTCACTATGGGTTATAAGCTCTTTCCTTCCCTGTTCCCAGAGGCAAGAGCCAGCCTGTCTTGTCCCTCATGTATAACACCCTCTATGTAAATGTCACTTTCTTTAAAACAAATGAACATTCCTCTCACCTACATGTGCAACTAAATCCCCCAATTCAGTGGTGCTTGATTTTGGCCAGGCCTGAGTTGCATAAAAAGCTCTGAAAGTCCAGGCTGCACATGGAACAATTCAATTAGAGTCTGAGGGAGTGGGACCCAGTAACCTGCAATTGTTTAAACTCCTCAGTGCATAGCCAGGTTTGAGAACCCTGGGTCTACATAGGGGTTCATTCCATGTTGGATCATCAGCTGAACAGACACAAGCCAAATCCTTTAGGAAGCTGGCATCCAGCTTGAAGGAGCCATCTAGTATCTTCCATTAGTGCCCAGTGAGAGTTGTGATCCTGGGGAACTTTCTCAGCACTCAAGCTTCAGCTACAGCTGGCCTCAGTTTAGCAAGACACAGGCATCTCTGGGGTGTACAGACACAAACTCCTAGCTCATGCAGTCTTGAAGGCCTTGGAGACACAACAAAGATATTAGGAAGCCAGGCCATCTGATTGCCTGCTTCTGCCTGCTGCTCCAGACCTTCTGCAGGCAGCTCTGCTCTTAGGTAAACAGGCCCTACCTTCTCAACCAAGCACCCAACTCACATTCTCTGATATGTGACACTCATCGGTGTCATGATTGCATCTCTGCACCAGTGGCTGCCCATGGGCCTCCCTTCCTCTGCCAGTCATCATTGCTAGGTCTATCACAGCCTGCCCCCTTAGCTGGATCCCTTCCTGCTTGGTCCTTCTGCTGCCAAGGTGTCTGATCATCTGTCACAATTATGGGTGAGAGTACCTAACTCTTCTGCTGTGACTCCTCAAACAGCGGCACTGGCTAGGCACAGGGCTTGACTACCCTTCCAGGGTTTAAGCAACAGTTCTCGTCTCATGGACTCTACAAGAGACTAGGACTTGACTTCTGCTCCAAATCTGTGACCCTGATGTAAGGGCGAGCTCTTCCAATGCATTCCTCCTTGCTCAGTCTCTCTCCTCAGACAGAGCTGCAGGCCAAGATAGCGCAGACCCCCACTGGATCACTAGGAAAAGGTGGCACCCAAACAGACCGATACTACAGAACAGCTTCTCATTGAAAGGCAGAACAAAGGCCTCACAGCAAGGATATGTGGCTGGGTAGCCCTGGAGCACTGTCCCTCCCTCCAAAGTACAGGGAGATGATGATGGTGATGGTAGGTCTGAGGGCTTGAGGCACAAGTGGCTGTGGTCTGAGTCAGAGCAGTCCATTTAGAGATGGTGCCAAGGAACACAGCGTGGCCATATCACTGCTTGGCAGCTGAAATGGCAGGCTGAAGATCCTTCTGATGTCAAGGAGCACAGGACAGATAGCGGGCATTGAAATCAAGCAGGAAGAAAGCAAGACATGAGGGGGAAAGGAAATCTAGGGGGCAGATGGTCCTATCTCCCCCCTATGGGCTGGGGTCCGAGACAAACTGGGAAGATAAGGTTAGTTACAACCGAAGAGCTCCCAGGTAATATCAGTACTGTACAGGCCATGTCCCACTTCCCACTTTGGATGCTCATAAGTGTGGAAGGAAGACAGCCATAATCTCCTCCAGAGAATAGCTAAGTTCCATACAGGGCGAAGACAAACACTCCCACAGGGAAGATTCTACACAGAATCTGATGGCTATGGAATAAGGGTTCACAACGGAGATCATTTAACAAGTATTTATTGAGCAGTCATACCTGCCAGGCCTTGGGATGGAGAGTCTGCAGGGATATCTGGCCACAAGATTGCAGATAGTGGGATGGGGTGGCAAACAGCCACAGAGGAGGGAAGAACTCAGGTTCTCAGAGACCCATTTGATAGAGGGCCTAGGCCTGGACTGGTAGGGATGAGGCCTCTTGGGTGGGTTGGGTGGAGGTAATGAAATTTCAAAGACTTCAAGGTGGGACTTGAACTTGGGGATTCTCCATGCGGCTTTGTTAGAATCTCTGAGGACATGTGCTACCTGTGCAACACTCACAGAAGAAGCATTAAGCTGAGAAGCCACGAGGAGCAAGTGGGAAAAGGTAAGTTTCAGAGCCATTGGTTAAAATCTGGGGAGCCCCTGGGAGAGTCCTGAAGTCTCTGTACATTCAGCAGAGTGCTGACACCCTCTGTGTGTAGGCATCAGCAGGGTGCCCGGGAAGACCTACGGTGGCAGGGGTGGTGGCCTGAGCTACAAGAGGAGGCCTGTGTCAGGGCATAATATCCCTGGGGGGTACAGACCACCAAGGGTGTGATGAAGGCAGGTGGCTCTCCTTGCTTTGTGTGAGAAAATGCAGATCTGATAGAGGATATCGCAGCATACTTCTGGCAAGTGGTGGGCTGGCCGGAAGACTCGGAGTCAGAGCCGGCAGCTTTCTCAGTGGGATGATGGGAAGACCAAGCTGGTGGCTGGCAGGCCCCTTGAGGTAGACTGCAGGCCCTGTTGGAGTGGGAGGTCCAATGTGGGTGGGAGGCTCTCTGGGTGCTCAGCTGGGAGGAGTGGGTTGGTGAAGAGGCTGCTGCAGTGGTATCTGGTGGCTCAGAATATTTTCCAACACAATCTCAGACTGTGGGCTAGAAAGAACTCTGCTTTCTCTGGATGCTTAACAGCCTAAGTCTCTAATGACATACCTCCCGGCCCAGAAGAGTCATCATAAGATGCCTTTCAGGAAGTTTTCTAATATGAAGTAAAATCTTGCACGTGCTCCTGTGGTGGTTTGAATGAGAATGTTCCCCCTAAAACCCAGATGTGTGAACACTTGGACCCCAGTTGGAGCAACAGTATGGGAAGGATTAGGAGGTGTGGCCTTATTGGAGTAGGTGTGTCACTGGGAGTGGGCTTTGAGGTTTCAAAGGCCCATGTCACTCCCAGTTGGCAGCTCTCTCTGTAACTTGTGCTTGTGGATCAGGTGTGCCTGCCTGCTGCCATTCTCCCTGCCATGATAATGGTCATGGAATTACCTTCTGAAACTATAAATCCCAACAACCTCTTTCCTCTATAAGATGTCTTTGTCATGGGGTCACAGAAAAGTAAAGAAGACATCCCCTGTCCATTATTTGTTACCATGGATACCTCTATCCATCACTAGCCTTCATTCACTGATGCTGTGGTTGTTTTGTTTGTTTGTTTTTCAGACAGGATCTCTCTACATAGCCTTGACTGTCCTGGAACACTATGTAGACTAGACCAAGCTTGAACTCACAGGGATCTATATCCACCTGCCTCTGCCTCCCAAGTGCTGGGATTAAAGGCGTGAACCACTATATCTGGCTCATTGATTAACTGGGAAATAAACTCTTGTCCAGCTTTCATGGAGAACTTAGCAGATAGAAAATATATAAGGAAGCTTTTAGAAAAGAGCTTCGGATATTCCAGAGGACAGCCAGGTCCTGAAGGAAGCAGTCTAGCAAGCATTTCAGAGGCACTCTTGCCTGATGCCATGAGAGGGCTATGGTTCAATAAACATGCAGTCATTACTTGCAGACTCTCCTTGGTACAGTTTAGAGGCTTTTTATTGCCTTGCTGGAAATTTTCCCATGTGCCAGATGAGCCTGAGAGTCACCTGCTGTGACTGCAGCCTTTGGGGCTTTAAATGAGGGGAGGCAGGAGTCCTAGGCTGAACTCCAAGTTACTCACCAGATTCTCAGTATCTGAGTCTTCTGAGCTGCTGATCACCACAATTGGCTCTTCTGAAATGGAGAGGAAGTGGTGGCATTAAGTTCTTCCTGAAATGTCCACTGGCTGGGGTGAGAAGTGGCCACCCAGGAGAGTCCTTGTAAGCTGGAGGTGACAGATGCCCTGACCTGTGTGCATCAGGAGGAGATGGAGTGTATATATCTCTAAGGCACAGTGTTTGGCACTGGCCGAGTTTGAAGGAAAGGAGTCAGAACTAGGGCATAGGTCCTCAGGTGTCCCACACTGGAATCACAGCAAAGTGCAGTGTAAATGACCTCCACCATACTCAATGGCAGCTCAGAGCAATGTGTACAAGGGAATCCTGGTGACTTTGAGTGCCCATGTGGGATCAGAATGTGAGATGGGGGAATGAGGGTCTTACCCAAGTACCAGCCTGCCTGATCTCCCTACCTGCTTCCCCTGTGTCACTGGTAACAAGGTTGCTGGTGAGCAGGAGGGTGTCTTCTTCTAGGACTGGACTCTCATCAGTGTTGGCAGGCCCATCCACATGGCGAGGTGAGATGGCCTTGGAAGTGCTGGGCCTGGGCTGCTCAGGGGAGCTAGTGCTCAACCTGTCCTCATTCTCTTCTGTGGACTCCACCTTGATGATCTTCCCAGAGCAATTCCTGTGGCAGCACTTCCTCTTCCTGGGGGTGACTGTCTGAGAGGCCTCCTGCACAGTGGAGAGTTATAGGGGTGATTCAGGTGTCTCCAGTGTTGTTGGGCTGAGGACCCTGAGGTGAGTGCCAGGGGCTTGTGGCATGGTTTTGCTCCTGTTCCTTTGGCCTTGGTGACCATATCTCTGCAAACAGGAAACTCTTTTGGGTTGCCATGCACACTGACCAAGGATCTCTGTTGACCTCATGGCTTTGGCTGTGTCAGCATCTCAACTGGGTTGAGAGTGGCTCAAGCTTATTGGGAGGGGAGCATCCCAGGCCAACGGAGAACACAGAGAACATGGGGCACATGCTGAGCAAATAAAGACCTTGGGAAGGCACAGATTCTCATCCAGCTGTGCCTCACTGTTGGTTGGAGTCTGACCCTTTCAGATGAGGCGGGGCTGAGTAGGAGGACTTACCTCTCTATAGGTGGGGCTTTTCATAGAGAAGGCATACACTGGCACAGGCTGTGCTCCAGGCACTGACTGTACCACAGCCACAGAGTGGGTCTCAGACATATTCAGGGCCTGTGCCAGTTCCCTCTGTACTTCATTGGGCTGTAAAATCAGGTAACAAAAAGTCAGAAATGGCCAGGGACCCTGGGCCTAATAATCTGCCTCACTTATAAGCTTCTAGGTCTGGGACAAGTAGTTTTTCCCGAACCCTCCATGATGTCACCTCCTTCTGACCTTGGGTTGCTGGTACTCAGGCACCACTTCAATTTCCTGACAGGGCAGGAAGATACCTCAGGGACCACAAGGCCAACTCCTCAGAACATGCCTGACAACTAGCCTAGCTTGCATGCCTCTAGAGACAAGCTGCTTCCTGTTGAGAGCAGCACCTCAGCAGTGGTGGAGTTGCAGCAGTGAGAAAATCCAAGCCCAGCCTCCCAGAGCATGCCTCTACCCTGCCCGGCAGAGTACAGTAGAGTTCAGAGAGCCTGGACTTCTATTGTCTTTAAGATGTCAGCTAATGGCTGCAGGATATCCTGGCCTCTGTGGTGAATAGCTCCTATCTAAATAACAATAGACCTAGGCCAAGGTGAGTTTTACACCCATCCTTAAGGCTAGTGATATATGCTGGTCTGGCGTGCCTGACAGCCAAGTGTATGTGCAGCTATGAGTGTCTTTAGGATTAAGGGAAGTAATTACTATCTGCCCTTTATACAAGATAATAGATGTCTTCTGCCATTGTCCCCACCTTTGGATGGTTACTTAAGATGATGTATGAATAAACTGGGCACATTGAGTATTAACTCACTGCCCTCCTGATATGATCTTATGTCTCTGTCTTTTCTTTAACCAGGATAGCTAGTCTTCCCTCATCCACACTCCCCACACTCCCCGACTCAGGAATGGACCCAGGGCCATTAGGTTGGTTCTGATCGCAGCTCTCCCCCCCCAACATCAGTCTTCGACATAGGGCCCCTCAACGTGGGGCTAATACAGACAGGGCCCGACACTAACCCCAAGTCTTAACTCTGTCCAGCAGCTGCTACACATTGGGATAACTTAAAACTCACTGGACTTCAGTCTCCTTCCAAAAAATGGGATGATAACATTTGCTTCATATGGTGATATGGCTGAAACGGGCCAAACACCTTCAACATATCTAAAAGAGTATGTAATACACAGAGGGTTCCACTAGTGGGGGTGATAAAGATGGCTAATGAATGTCACAGTTTTATTACTATTCCAGGTCAGACTTGGTGCTCAGTGTTTTGAGTATCTATATCAAAATGGAAGCAGGGGCAGTTTCTCAAAAAGTGAAAAGGGAGCTGGAGAGATGGCTCAGAGGTTAAGAGCATTGGCTGCTCTTGCAAAGGACCGGGGTTCAGTTCCCAGAACTCACATGGCAGCTCACACCCATCTGTAACCCCAGTTTTGGGGGACCTGACACCCTCTTCTGGCCTCTGCAGGCACTGCACACATATGGTACACTTACCTGCAGGCAAAACACTTATACACATAACATAAAAAGAAATAAATTACCACATGACTTACCAATTCTACTCTTAGGTACTACTCCCCCCCCCAAAAAAAGTACTAAAGGTAGATGTTCAAATGCAAACTTATATATGAGGCTGGGCAGGCAGTCCAATGGTAAAGCCTACCATGTGCCAAGCCCCAGATTCGATCCTCAGAACAAGAGCAAAAAGTTTAAGCATCTTATCTTTGCCTTTATAGCTATGAAAGTGCTGTCATTCTACTTAGGCCAGGAACTCCCTGTAGACAAGGATGAGTGCCTCTGCTTCTGTTCCCTCAACATCCAATCACCAACATTAAAGAAGCAGAAGACAGTAAGAGGGGAAAGTCACAGGTGATTTATGGTTGTCTTAGAACAGCAGTTCTCAACATGTGGGTCCTTTGGGGGTGAAGGACCCTTTCACAGGAGTTGACTAAGACCATTGGAAGACACAGATGTTTACATTACGATTCACAATAGTAACAAAATTACAGTTATGAGGTAGCAACGAAAATAATTTTGTAGTTGGGGGCTATTATAACTTGAGGGGCCATATTAAAGGGCCGCAGCATTAGGAAGGTTGAGAAGAACTGGGTTAGAGTTTTAAAATCACAAATCCCTTCTGAGGCAGTGCTGTGAGGGCCAGAGCTGCCTCTCCTGACAGGACTGACGCAGTCATATTACCCTAAGATAGGTCTAGGCCTGCCTCCTTGACCTTTGTGCCCATACGCTGCTACCCACCTCTTTCTGGAGTCCTACCCTCATCACCCAGATGCAGAGCAAACTTCAAGTCCAAAATGCTTCCCAGCTGAGTCTCTCTGGGTGTGCGTCTCTGCAAGGGGCTGTGGTTCCATGCTCTCTTGTAGCTCTAAAATTCTCCAAGTCCTGCCTCCCCCCAGGAAGCCTTTCCCGACTGCTGTAGCCCACAGCAATCTCTTGCCCATGGGTCACCTCAAGGCTTAATACCCTTATTGCCCACCAGAAGATCTGCTTGATCCTGGGCCTACATCTTAACATGCAGATATACACAACAGACTGACCAAGCTAGGGAGGAGAAAGATGGCAGGCTCAGGAAGGAACTGAGAGGGCTGATCCTGCCGCAGGGAGCCATGCCTACGAGGGTAGGTGGAGGAGAATGGATGCCTGTGCATTTCTACCCTGGGAAACACTAACTCAGAGCAGTCAGAGGAAGGAGTACCACCTAAGAATGAATCAATTTCCTGTCCCCAAAGGCACCAAAATAAGATCACCTAAAGATGTCTTCCCATCCTGAGAAACTGTAGGCTTTAGGCATATGACGGCCCTGGAATCTGTGGGATTGAGCTCTGACTCCTAGCTAGCCTTAAATCCAAGAACCATGTGGGTAGGGGTGGAGGTCCACCTACGCCAGCCTCAGAAAATGGCTCACACATTCAGTGTGAGCTTCAGGGATATCCTGTGTCACATCCATCAGGACCATTCTTTAAATTTACTTCCTTCACTTCCTGCCCAGCCCTGGGTCTGACCCCTCCTGAACTAGCTTATGGCCCATCAAGAGCTACTGAGGCATTTAGGAATGCCAGCCAACCCTTCCTCACCACTTTCTTAACACTCTCCTGAGAGCTCCAGTTCAGTCATTTGCTGTCCCCCCTCAGGCATTTTCCCTGCTGTCACAGGACATCCGGACTCCCAACCACTTGCCTAACACTTCTCCTCACACATCAAACTCCTCTCACCTGCTCAAGGTCCGAAGATTCCCTGGGAGTACTAGCTGGCTGTGGGCTGGCTCTCCTGGCTACCGCTTCATCTGAAAACAAAACAAAACAAAACAGAGAGCATGAAGGCAGCCTAATGAGGAGGATTCTGGGCTGGGACAGTGACAGGGAGGGGTTCCTTGTTGCATTTCCTGGGTATTCGCTACTGATCATGTCTCCACAGAGGAGCTGGAGTTGGTTGCTGTAGGCATGAACCCAACAAGAACAGAGAGGGGAAGGTAGCATGGGGTGATACCTTTGACTTTAAATCCCAAGTGCACATCTTTTCACCTTTGGGGAATTGTGGAATAATCGTTTTGTACAATGCGAAGATGTGTTGCTCGCTCTCCTTGGTTTAATAGAGTTAAATGGTCTATAGCTAGGCAGAAAGAGGTTAGGTGGGACTTGCAGACAGGGAGAGAGCTCTCTGGGATGAAGAAGGGCAGAATCATCAGGAAACATGGAGAGAAGCAAGATGAACCTAAGAGCTCAGTGCCGGTACTCAGTACTCAGGACCTAGAGGCTGGGAGTTGGCTGCTTCGTTCTAGGGGAATTCTTCCTTTCAGTGTCTGACCAAGTACCCCATTGCTAGGTTTTCTGAGCCTCCTTCTCTCCTTGCACTCCAGTTGACTTCTCTTCTCCTGGGCATAGGGAACTTAAGAGGCCCCGGGAGTGGGCTGCAGGGATACCACATCTGGTTCTCAGCTAGGCAGCTTCTCAATTTTCACGTTCCCCAAGGTTGATTAAGTAAGTCACGTCTATTCCATAGCGTCTTGTAAGTTAGCAAAGTGCCTCCTCCGGGTGCCTGCCACACCAGATCATTATATCCTTTTATTCTGCCCTCTGGAACCTAATCAAATGGAGATCATCTTTTCTGTCTCGCCTTCCCCTGGGGGCAGCAGTGAAGCATGGACCCATGTCAAACCAGCTGTCCGCAAGTGTGGCCTGAGCACTTACCTGTTCTCTGGGTGATGCAGGACATGAAGTCCTGCAGACACGTCTTGAACTCCTCGAAGCCACTGGTTCGCAGTTGGACTTTCTGATTCTGGGGCTCCTCCTGGCGCAGGCGGCACAGTGCCTTGTGCAGAAAACTGTGCATGTCCAGCACCTCCTGGTCGGAGGCATAGAGCTTCATCCTCTTGACCAGCTCCCCACCAGTGCGGATGCGCTGCAGCACAGCTTCCAGGCGGCCCAGCTGACCAGATATTTCCTGGTAGTCGCGCTGGAAGCGTGCATTCACCGCTTCGAGGAGCTCGCGCTCCTGGGCCTGCACATGCTCTACCACCTGGCGAACACGAGCTCGGATCAGCTCCTCAGTGTCTGCACGTGCTTGCTCCAGCTGGCCTATGGCGGAGCGCATCTGCGCGTGAGCATTGTCGAAGGTCTTGTCTTGCTCCTGCAGCGCCTGCGTCATGGTGCCCAGCTCCTCATGCCGCTGCTGGATCTCCTCGCCAATGTCGCACTGGAGATGGTTGTGGCCCCGGTCCAGGAGCGCGCATGCGCAACACAGAGGCTTGGAACAGCCTCGGCAGTAGATGCTGTGGACACGAAAGACCCACTTCGGACATGCTATGTCTCAGTTTATGCTTTTCCTTACTCAGTGTCTATGGATGATTATGATACTGGATCTATGCATAGAATACCAGACAGTAAAAAGCTACCACAGCGCCAGCAAGCTCAGGGAGTAAAAGTGCTCTCAAGCAAGCCTAACAACCTGAGTTTAATTCCCCAGAACCTATATGGTGGAAGGTAACAACTGACTTCTGTCCTCTGACCTCTACATGCGTGCCATAGCACAGTGCACGCACAATCATACACACATTTAAAAAAGTAAACAAACTACCACAGTAACAATTTCTCCACACATGTCTGCAACGCAGACACATACATGAAGAAATAATCACTTTCCGCCATTTCTTAACATCCCCTAACACTATCTCTGACCCCGCCCTGCTCGCTCAGGCCTCAGCTGAGCATGGGAAGGTTTCTTCTTCTCACCTCTCCACATTCAAACTCGGAAGCACCTGCCAGGCATGCCACTCCACCTTTGCAAGCACTGGCAGGGTGCTTTTATTATATTCCACAGATGAAGAAAAAGAAACCAAGACTACAGCTAAACAATGTGAAGGGATAATATTTGTTATTAAAAAATAAAATCATACTACAGTTACCTGTTAACTTCCTTCACTACTCTTTCATTCAGGAAATTCCTTTAGGTTCATAGGGACGGGGCTAATGTATTCTTTTTAATAGCTCCATTGTAGCTACATGGACAATTGTTTAGTTCAACAGGCTCCCCTTTGACAAACACTCACGTGATTCCCTGTTTGTGCATTTTTTTTCTGCCTTTCTTCTCTCTCCTTTTTATTTTTTGACTGATGTGCACAGTGATTTAATAACATCACATCCATGTTAGCCTAATGTAAGGGTGCCTTTCTCTCTATGAAATAGAGTACAAATAATAGATTGCTAGATGCATATCTCTATCTTACTATTTTACATATGTAAAAAATTAATTAATGGTAAATGTGTGATGTCATAGATATTCTAATTAGTTGGATTTTTCCAGTTCTACAATGTATATCACAGCATTATATGATATACATATAGTTTTTATTAATCAATTTAGTATATAGGCTAACAGACTTTCACAGCATTTATTATAGTCATTCTATCTATTTTTTTAAAAGATTTTATTTATTTATTTATTTATCATGTATACAACATTCTGCTTCCATGTACCATGTGGTTGCTGAGAATTGAACTCAGGACCTCTGGAAGAGCAGTCAGTGCTCTTAACCTCTGAGCTATCTCTCCAGCCCATTCTATCTAATTTTTGAATATGTTACAAGGTGAAGGGACCTTAAATATGTAATTAAATTAAGAGTCTTGAGATTCTAGGAGCTGCAGAGACAGCTCAGAAGTTTAGAACACTTGGTATTTTTGCAGAGATCCCAGTTTGATTCCCAGCACCTACACGGTGACTCACAATGTTTGTAAGTTCCAGGAGATCTGAGGCTCTCTTCTTACCTCTGTGGGTCCCAAGCACACATGTGCATATATACATACAGGCAGGCAAAACAAAAAATAAATAAATCTTTTAAAAAGATTGTTTAAACAGAATTTTAAGATTGAGAGATTATTCTGAGTTATCTAGGTGTTATCTCAAGAGCTGTAATAAAAGAAAGAAAGGAGGCAGGAGATTGAGAGAAAACCTGATGGGAGCAGAGGCTGGAGTGACAATCTCCTGTTGGCTTCGGAGATGGAAGGGAAGGTGTACCAAGGAATATGGGCAGCACAGAAGCCAGAAAATGGATTCTCCAAGTCTGCCAAGGGAGCCAAGCTCTGCTGGAACTTTGATTTCATCTCAGACCCATTTCAAACATTTGAAGTCCAGAGGGACAAAATTAGGGATCCACATTGTTGTAAATTCCTGAGTTTGTGTCGATTTGTTATAGCAGCAATAGGAAATTAACATAGGAGCCAGGTAGCAAGCAGCCTTGGTCCAAGTTCTTAACCATTGTAATGCTATTGCTTCAAAAGTTACCAGGAACAACACTTTCAGCTACTTCTAAAGATATTCTGTAATGTAAAGAAAAAGCTCACTTGAGATCTGGGGAAACGCCTTACCTGGGGTCATGTTGGCCTTGGTTACCTGGACCACCATGATCCGGAACTATCAACAGAGAGCTTCTGGTCAGACCCTGGTCCTCTGCTTCATCAGCTCTCACCCTCCCCAGACCACTCAAAGTGATGATGTTTTGGCACTTGATCAGACACTGGAGACTTATTCCAAGACAGCAAAGGATTCCCAGAGAGCCCAGAGTGTAGGAACAGAATAGCCCCAAGCATGCAGCTCTTCCATTCATGGAGTCTGATCTCAATAACAGAGAGATATAATATATATTATATATTATATAATATATAATAATAATATCCTGTTACCAGAGATAGAGCCAGACTGAGGTAAACAGCAATGAAGCAGAGAAGGCTGTAACTCAGGCCCATGCCATTTGCAGGTCACTGAACTTCCATAGCCCTTAACTATGATTGAAGGCTAGGGATAACCAGGAATCATGGTAATTCATCAAGGGGCTGCCACCTAGACCCAGGAATGATTTTAGCCAAGTGGTCCCTTCCCCCTCCTCTAAGGGACAGACTGTGTGCTTGGCACTATGAAAGAGGCAGCAGTGAGATGGGCACCTACACAGGGTTCTGTGCCAAGAACCTAGATTTAGTCAAGACAGAGAGTTGTGTCTCCAGAAGAGCAAAAGGCCAGGTACTTCCTCCTAGAATATACAAAGGAATTAACTAAAACACCACTGAGTCAACAAGAAATTACTCAGCAAAATGACTATATTACACCAGAATTGAAAGAATGAGACAGAAATAGATGGAGAGGGGGAGGGGATGGAAGGAGAGGGAGGGAGGGAGGGAGAGAGAGATCTTAATTCTATTCTATCAAAGGAAATAAAAACAAATTGGGGTAGGTGGGGTCCCATTCTCAACACTAATCCAAAACTGTTACAAAACACTTAGATATGCTAGCAAGAAATATGTAAGATTTATATGAAGAAAATAGCAAAAACTCATAAAAATAAGTCTAAAAAGCAGAAAAGTAGGACCAGTGAAATGGCTCAGTAGATAAAGATGAGTCATCAAAGCTGACCACCCAAGTTAGATCCCTACAATTCATGTGATTCATGTGTCAAAAAAAAAAAAAAGGCTCACAACTTCTTTGGGTTGACATCTGACCTCCACATCTGTGCCATGGCAAATACACACAGGCATAAGCACACAATCAATTAGTAAAATGTCCTGGCATGGAGAACAGGAAGAAGGCACAGAGTCCAACTCCTAACCAAGAAGCACTTGCAAGAGATGGCTTCTGGGAGAGGAAAATTAGTCTTTTTCAATGAAGTGACACAGGGTATCTGAAGCACACTTCAGGTCAGGCCTCATGCTCAGGAGTAGTTGGCCAACACAAAACAGATTCCATGGCTTCATTTTTTCTGTTGGATTTTCTTTCTTTTTTTTTTTTGAGAGAGAGAGAGAGAGAGAGAGAGAGAATGCACAATTGGTTGAGGAGGGAGGAAGATCTAGAAGGAGTTGGGAAAGGGGAGGGAATATGATCAAAATGTATTGTATGAAAACTTAAAAATATTAATAAATAGATAAATGAGCTGGGTGGTGGTGGCACACACCTTTAATTCCATCACGTGGGAGGCAGAGGCAGATAAATGTAATTTTTTTGATAAATGTAATTTTAAAATAAGAAAGATTCTAAAAGCCCAGAAAAGTAGATGAAGTTTCTGATTAGAAAGACTAAATATTGTAAGATTATTGATTCTCAAGATAGCAAATATGGCTCTTTCTGTAGGTGGCCTGAGGTGATCTATAAAGATGGTTCCCTACTCTCTCGACCCAGAAAACCCCACAAAATCATGCAAGTTAAGAGGTTCAGATCTTAGGGTTCACTTTAAGAACACCCATGAAACTGCCCAGGAAGGACATCAAGGCTATGAATATCCAAAAAGCCACCAAATATCTAAAAGATGTCACTTTAAAGAAGCAATGTGTGCCATTCTGGTGGTATAATGACGGAGTTGGCAGGTTAGCTCAGGCCAAACAGTAGGGCTGGACACAGGGCTGGTCGCCAAAAAAAAGAGTGCTGAATTTTTGCTGCACATGCTTAAAAATGCAGAGAGTAGAGCTGACCATAAGGGTCTAGACATAGATTCTCTGGTCATTGAACACATCCAGGTAAACAAAACCCCTAAGATGTGCTGACGAACTTACAGGGTTCCCAGCAGGATTAACTGGTATATATGCTCCCCCTGCCACATCAAGAAGATCCCCACAGAAAAGGAACATACTGTTCCAAAGCCAGAAGAGGAGGTTGCACAGAAGAAAAAGATATCCCAGAAGAAACTGAAGAAACAAAAACTTATGGCACGGGAATAAATTCAACATAAAATAAATTCAGATAAAAGTAAAAAAAAAAAAAAGCAGATAGCATAAATGTTTTAAAGGCATTTAAATCTAATTATGAGATTTTAAAAAACTTAGTCAAATGATTATAAATGTCCTATGTAGGAACTGATGAACCAAATAGCTAAGGAATGTTTGAAAAATCTGTGGGAGGAAGGCAATGAAGACTTTTCTCAGCCAGTCAGCACTTATTAAAACAAGCACGGAACTAGAAGAGTATTGAGAGTCAAATGATCAGGCTTAAAACACTGGGCACATTATTCATTCAGTAGGTAGCAAGCTGGGTCCCCCAGCTCTTCCTGACATCCTTATGGCTGTGAATGGCATCACCATTCTCAAGCCAGAGACTATGGGATCATCAAAGATGCCTCCAATAACAGTTCAACAGTAATTTTAAAAAAGATTTATTTATTTATTTTATGTATATGAGTGCTCTGTCTGCATGTATGGCTTTATTCCAGAAGAGGGCATCAGATCTCATTATAGATGGTTATGAGCCACCATGCAGTTGCTGGGAATTGAACTTAGGACCTCTGGAAGAGCAGCC